AGCAGCGGCTCAACCCACAATGCCCAGCTTTTTTTTTTTTAAGATTTACTTATTTGAGAGACAGAGTTACACACACAGAGAGAGAGGTCTTCTGTTTGCAGGTTCATTCCCCAAATGGCCAGAACAGCCAGGATCAGGCCAGGCCAAAGCCAGGAGTAGGGAGTCCAACTGGGTCTCCATGTGGGTGCAGGAGTCTAAGCCCTTGGGCCATCTCCCAATGCTTCCGCAGGCGAATTAGCAGAGGGCTGGATGAGTAGTGGAGCAGCCGGGACTCAACCCGGGTCTCTGATATGGATGCGGAGTTACAAGCAGTGGCATAAACTGGTGTACCAAAATGCTGGTGCCCTGCCCCTGACTTTTTGTTTTTGTTTTTAACATTTTAAAATTAATTTTTAAAAATTTATTTGAGAGGCAGAGAGTGCTTGTATCTGCTGGTTCACTCCCCAGATGCCCATGGTGACTGGGGCTTGGCCAGGGGCCAAAGCCAGGAACTAAGAACGCAAGGTAGACATCCCACGTGGGTGGCAAGAACTCAATTAACTTCAGCTGTCACCTCCCGCCTCAGCGGGTGCACATTAGCAGGAGGCTGGTGGAGTCAGGAGCCGAAGCTGGGGACCAAGCCCAGGCACCCCGAAGGGACACAGCCCTGCAAACAAAGCCTATTGAGAGGGTCCTTTGCCCTCTTTTGTCCTAGGCTGCAAAACCCCCTCCTGCACTGTTTTGTTCTGGCGTTAGGTAACGGAAGCCTTGCACATGACATCTGCTGGGAGGAGAGACAGAGCACACACTCTCTCCTCGGCCCTGGTCACCCGGGGAAGGCCCACAGCACCGGGAGCTTGTTAGAAGCGCAGCCCCAGGCTTCCTGCTGTGCATTCTAACGAGACCCCAGGTGACATGGTATTGAGTTTACAAGGCACTGGCCGGGCCAGCCGAAGCCAACGATGTTTTTCCCAGGTGCAGACACTGTGTGCTAGGAGGCACTTTGTTCTTGTCCATTCTCCAGTTGCCTGAGGCAGGCCACGCTGACGGAAGTGGGGACTTGTGCTTCAGCTCCACCTGCTCCCCTGACGCCCACCGGCACTCACTAATTAGCCTGCCAGCTTAATTAAACCCTCAAAAATATATTCTAGTGAGTCTCTGGGTCACATTCAGCTTCTGTCCAAAGCAGGTTGATTGGGTTTCGACAGAGATGCAGTGAGTGGCATGGAAAGTGTGCAGTCTGATGCGTTCTGACATCTGTGTACGGTGTGCCAGCGAAAGCATTGCCACAATCAAGAGCATCATCATATCCATTACCCACTAAAGTTCTCGTGTGTCCCTCTGAATCCGCCCGCCACCCCTGGGCAACCACTAATCTGCTTTCTGTCACTGTCGATAAGGCTGCCTCTCCTAGGATTTTATGTAAATAGAAGCAAACTGTGCAGCTCCTTCTGTTTGCCTGGCGTCTTCCACTCAGCAGTGATTTTGAGCTGTGTTGCAAGTGCCCTCGTTCTTTTTATTCCACGGTATGACAATCACACAGTGTGTTTATCTAGGTATCAAGAAAAACTTGGCTTCTGTCCTTCTAATTCTTGGATATTTCCAAATGCAGCTGCCTGCCAGCATGATTCTGCACGCATTTGTGTGAACCTGTGCTTTCTTTTGCTTGGTAAATAAGCACATACTGAGGAATTGAGTACCCAGGTCATAGAGTCCGTGTGTGCCTGCCAAGAGTTTCCCCATGTGCTTAGCCTACTTTGTATCCCCACCAGTGGAGCAGGTGAGCTGCAGGCCCTTCACCATCTCCAGTACTTGGTATTGTCTGTCTTTTTTATTTTACCCATCCTGATGTGGATGACACTGTGTGGTTTTAATTTCCATGTTGTTAGTGGGCATATTTTTATATGCTTATTTCCCATGTGTATGTCTTATTCAGAATGCCTGCTGGAATTACTAACTGTATGTCATTGTTAGATTGAGTTTTGTGTGTGTTCTGTATTAAAATCCTCTACCAGATACACCTGTACGATTTGCAAATATCTTCTTGCTGTCTGGGTTTTCTTTCCTGATGTTTTTTTCTAGACTTAATAGAATTTTAAATTTTACATTTAGGTCTGTGATCCATTTGAGTTTATATTTGTATATGATATTGGGTATGGATGGAAAAAATATATATGTTGCATAGATAGCCAGTTGTTCAGAACTATTTGTTGAAAAGACTATCCTTTCTCCACTTAATTACCTTTGACATCTGTCACAAATCACTTGCTAACTATATAGGTAGATATATGTCTTTTCTTAGGGTTTATTTATTTTGAAAGAGTTGAGAGAAAGAAACAGACACAGAGAGAACTTCTCTTCTCTGGTTTACTACTCAGATAGCTGAAAAGGTCAGGACTGGGTCAGACTGAAGCCAGGGCCAGGAGCAAGGAGGTTCATCTGGGTCTCCCACCGATTACCTGAGCCATCACCTGCTGCCTCCCAGGGTGCACATGAGCAGGAAGCTGGAATAGGAAAAGGAACTAGGACTTCAACCCAGCTCGTCCAACTTGGGATGTGTCCCCAGTGGCATTTTAATGGCTATACCCCACCCCCACCCCCCTTCTTTCTAAGTAGTCTTTGTGCTCCAGGGGGAACCACGTCCTTGACAGAGCTTGACAGCATGAGGTGCCCCCGCCCCTCCTCCCAGGAGCTTCCACTGCTGTGTGGCAGCGTGAATTCCAGAGTGTCCGTGGGCCCCGCGGTTGCCCAAGAGGGTTCTGTGGCTGGGAACAGCTCCCGTTCTCAAGCACCTGTATGTAATGGGTCAGGGAAGTGCTTGGAACTGGACAGAAACTATTTAACCCACATAGACGCCCATTTGACAGATGAAGAAATGGATATTTCCAGAGGTTAAGTAACTCGGCCAAGGGCACATAGCTGGCAGAGCCGGAGGCTTCCACGGCTGCCAGGTTGGCTCCAAGGCCTGTGCATTTGATCTTTTTTTGTTTGTTTGTTTGTTTTTGTTTTATTTGACAAGTAGAGTTATAGACAGTGAGAGAGAAAGACAGAGAGAATCGCTTCTCGGCCTTTTGGCTAAGATCAAGTGTAGAAAGACAGAGAGAGAGGTCTTCCTTCCGTTGGTTCATTCCCTAAATGGCCGCTCGGCCATTGCTGCGCCAATCCAAAGCCAGGAGCCAGGTGCTTCTCCTGGTCTCCCATGCGGGTGCAGGACCCAAGCACTTGGGCCATCCTCCACTGCCCTCCCAGGCCACAGCAGAGAGCTGGATTGGAAATGGAGCAACTGGGACTAGAACTCGGTGTGCCAGTGCCGCAGGCGGAGGATTAGCCATATGAGCCATGGCGCCAGCCCCAGTGCATTTGATCTTGATGCCATTACTTGGGTAGCTGTGAGCAGAATAACTCAGTTTCTCCAACCTGCAGAGTTCCCTGTGACTTAACCTGGGCTTTTGCTTTACCTGCTGAGTCACAACCTGGCCCTGATGGGAATCTCATGAAACATTGGGAACCTGGAAGTAGGTTACAGACCGCTGAGGAAAGCAGTGAGAACTCGAGGCTCCCTGCTGATGGTGGAGCACGGGCCCACGCTCCAGGATCTGCAGCAGCAGTTGTTGTTTGTTTATTTGAAAGACAGAGTTAGAGGGCCGGCGCCGCGGCTCACTAGGCTAATCCTCTGCTTTGCGGCGCCGGCACACCGGGTTCTAGTCCCGGTCGGGGTGCTGGATTCTGTCCCGGTTGCCCCTCTTCCAGGCCAGCTCTCTGCTGTGGCCCGGGAGTGCAGTGGAGGATGGCCTAAGTGCTTGGGCCCTGCACCCCATGGGAGATCAGGAGAAGCACCTGCCTCCTGCCATTGGATCAGCACGGTGTGCCAGCCTCGGCGGCCATTGGAGGGTGAACCAACGGCAAAGGAAGACCTTTCTCTCTGTCTCTCTCTCACTGTCCAAAACTCTGCCTGTCAAAAAAAAAAAAAAAAAAAAAAAAGAGTTAGAGAGAGAGATGAAAAGAAAACTCCTATACATTGGTTCATTCCCCAAATTCCCAGAGCATCTGAGACAGGCTAGGCTAAAGCCGAGAGATGGAAACTAACCAGGTCTCCCACATGGGTGGCAGGGACCCAAGCCCCTGAGCCGTCACCTGCCGCCTCCCAGGGTGTGGAATCAGCAGGCCTGGCGGGCTCTAAGCCCAGGCATTCCAGTATGAGGAGCGGGCGCCTCCAGCAGTCTCTTAACCACCACGCCAGACGCCTGTCCCGTACTTTGGGATCTTTGAAGAGTAGCTTGAGCTTGTCCTGAGAGAACAGACCTTGGGAAAGTTAGGACAAGAGTCCCTGGGCTGGTTTTTGTTGGGGCTGGCTTCTCGGAGAACGCTGGTCAATACCCAGCAGGCCCGCTTGCACACCTTGCTTTGTTACCTGGAGAGGGCATTGTGCAGGAGAGGGGCTGCTGCAGTGGGAGAACCCGGGAGTTGCGTCAACGAGGGCTGTGGGCAGTTCTGGGCCTACCCTTCGCTGCTTCGAGCTCAGCTGTGATTCCAGGCAGTGGTCAGGCTGGCAGCAAACGGTGCCTGTGCAGGCCCTGGGGCTCTCACAGCCAGCGTGGGTGTCCTGGAGGGCGCTGCCCCATTCACTGTCCGAGAGCAGACGAAGGCCTGGATCCGTGAGGTGCCCTGCTCGGGGAGCCCCCGCCTTCCCTCCATCTCCCTGCCGCCCCCTGCCGAGTTCTGGCCCCGTCTCGCCAGCATTGGTCCACAGCTGCCCACCCTGCCCTCAGGATGGGAGGTCTGGCGCTGGTGCCCCACAGGAGCAGGCGCCGTTCCCCAGGGAGCCGGAGCGCGAGGAGCCTTGTGCAGGCGGGGCCTTTGCAAGTGGGCAGAGTGGTTCGAGGGCGAGGGTTTCTGTCTCTCAGTTGCTCCTGAGTTTGACCGGGGCTGCTCTGTGTGCGAGCACGGGACGCAGATTCGTGGCCGGTATGTTTGATCAGCGTGTCCGCCTAACACTCCGGGCAACACCTTCTGTCTTGCAGGCGCTCCTAGCGGGCATGCGGAACCGCGAGAACAGCTCGCCCTGCCAGGGCAACGGGGAGCAGACCGGCAGGGGCAGGAACCTGGGCTCAGCGTGGCCAGGTGAGGAGGAGCCCAGCGGCGACATGGCCACCGCGTCCTACAAGAAGCCTCTGTACGGCATCTCGCACAAGATCATGGAGAAGAAGAACCCCCCGCCCGGGGACCTGCTCAGCACCTACGAGCTCCTGGAGAAGGCAAACCCCGGCAGCAGCCCCTCCCCGCTGCGGCTCCTCAGCGAGCCCCAGAAGCGGGACTGCGGCAGCGCCGGGGCGGCCAGCGACGGCGACCCCAACATCTACTTCCTCATCCAGAAGATGTTCTACATGCTCAACACGCTCACCTCCAACATGTCCCAGCTGCACAGCAAGGTGGACCTGCTCTCGCTGGAGGTGAGCCGCATCAAGAAGCAGGTGAGCCCCACGGAGCTCGTGGCCAAGTTCCAGCCGCCCCCCGAGTACCAGCTCACGGCCGCCGAGCTCAAGCAGATCGTGGACCAGAGCCTGTCCGGCGGCGACCTGGCCTGCCGCCTGCTGGTGCAGCTCTTCCCGGAACTCTTCAGCGACGTGGACTTCTCCCGCGGCTGCAGCGCCTGCGGCTTTGCCGCCAAGCGCAAGCTGGAGTCGCTGCACCTGCAGCTCATCCGCAACTACGTGGAGGTCTACTACCCCTCGGTGAAGGACACGGCCGTGTGGCAGGCCGAGTGCTTGCCGCAGCTCAACGACTTCTTCAGCCGCTTCTGGGCTCAGCGGGAGATGGAGGACAGCCAGCCGGGCGGCCAGGTGGCCGGCTTCTTTGAGGCCGAGCAGGTGGAGGCCGGCCACTTCCTGGACAGCAAAGACCAGGAGGAGGCGCTGTCTCTGGACCGGAGCAGCACCATTGCCTCGGACCACGTGGTGGACACGCAGGACCTCACCGAGTTCCTGGACGAAGCCTCGTCGCCCGGCGAGTTCGCCGTCTTCCTGCTGCACCGGCTCTTCCCGGAGCTCTTTGACCACCGCAAGCTGGGGGAGCAGTACAGCTGCTACGGCGACGGCGGCAAGCAGGAGCTGGACCCGCAGAGGCTGCAGATCATCCGCAACTACACGGAGATCTACTTCCCGGACATGCAGGAGGAGGAGGCCTGGCTGCAGCAGTGCGCCCAGCGCCTCAACGACGAGCTCGAGGGCCTGGGGCTGGACGGGGGCAGCGACGGCGACGCCCCGCGGGACGACTGCTACGACTCCTCCAGCCTGCCCGACGACATCTCCGTGGTCAAGGTGGAGGACAGCTTCGAGGGCGAGCGGCCCGGGCGGCGCTCCAAGAAGATCTGGCTGGTGCCCATCGACTTCGACAAGCTGGAGATCCCGCAGCCCGACTTCGAGCTGCCGGGCGCCGACTGCCTGCTGAGCAAGGAGCAGCTGCGCAGCATCTACGAGAGCAGCCTGTCCATCGGCAACTTCGCCTCCCGCCTGCTGGTGCACCTGTTCCCCGAGCTCTTCACCCACGAGAACCTGCGCAAGCAGTACAACTGCAGCGGCTCCCTGGGCAAGAAGCAGCTGGACCCGTCCCGCATCAAGCTGATCCGCCACTACGTGCAGCTGCTGTACCCCCGGGCCAAAAACGACCGCGTCTGGACCCTGGAGTTCGTGGGCAAACTGGACGAGCGCTGCCGGCGCCGGGACACAGAGCAGAGGCGCTCCTACCAGCAGCAGCGCAAGGTGCACGTGCCGGGCCCCGAGTGCAGGGACCTGGCGAGCTACGCGGTCAATCCCGAGCGGTTCCGCGAGGAGTTCGAGGGGCCCCCGCTGCCCCCCGAGAGGAGCAGCAAGGACTTCTGCAAGATCCCCCTGGACGAGCTGGTGGTGCCCTCCCCCGACTTCCCCGTGCCTTCTCCCTACCTGCTGTCGGACAAGGAGGTGCGCGAGATCGTGCAGCAGAGCCTGTCGGTCGGCAACTTCGCCGCCCGCCTCCTCGTGCGGCTCTTCCCCGAACTCTTCACCGCCGAGAACCTCCGGCTGCAGTACAACCACTCCGGGGCTTGCAACAAGAAGCAGCTGGACCCCACGCGGCTGCGGCTCATTCGCCACTACGTGGAGGCCGTCTATCCCGTGGAGAAGATGGAGGAGGTGTGGCACTATGAATGTATCCCCAGCATCGACGAGCGCTGTCGCCGGCCCAACAGGAAAAAGTGCGACATCCTCAAGAAAGCCAAGAAAGTGGAGAAGTGACATGTCCGTGCAGGCCGGCCCCCCCCCCCCGCCCCAGACGTGGGCTGGCCACGGGCTGAGCGCCGAGCCGGCAAGTGCGCGGCGGGGGCGGGGGAGGGGGCGGGGGCGTCTCGGGATGCGGCTTCCTGCCTTTGCACGCGTGAACCCCGGCCCCGCCGCGGGAAGGCAGCCTGGAATTGGGTCTCTCTCGGACTCTGTGCTGTGTCTCCCTAGTGGTGCAGCCAGGATGGGGGTGGGGGTGGGGGCAGAGGGGCCAGAGGAACAGGGTCCCGCCGGCCCCCCGCCGTTCAGAGAGCGCATCAGCAGCTCTCTTGTTCCTCCTCCCACATTTTGCATCCTCCATTTTTATCCCCACCTCCTCTCCCCCTTTTCTTAATTAAAAAGAAATCCTTTTTTAAAAAAAAAATTATTGGGCTCTCTGGGGGCCAATTTATTTAGGATAAAAAATCTTTTTAAATATTTGAGATGAAGTACTGTAAACTGACTTCAGTTACTGGGATTTTTTTTTTTTTTAAAGATGGTTTTAGATTTATGAAATGTTGAGAAGTGCCATGTTCACGCAGGATGGCTCGGCAATAGCTCCAGGGGGCTCGGGCGACCTTGTCCATGTGGTCTTGGAAGGGTCTGGCCACCCCTGCGGCCTGGGCCGTCCCTCAGGGCTGTGTGGGTTAGAATGTTAGGCGCACTCTCTGTAGACGAGAACACTGGATGATGATGGTGATGATGATGATGATGACGACGACGATGCTGACATGAATGTAGATAGACGTGGAGACACGCGCTCAAGACGTCTTCGCTTGAGCTGTGCGCTCCCACGACCCCCATCCTGTTCCCTCTCCGTATGTGGATGCTGGTTGGAGGGCCAGACGCATTTCCTTGGAAAATAATGTGTGTGCACATCTGGCTTCCTGTTTGACTTAAGGGTTGGGCCCCTTGGGGCCGACCGGGAACTGTTTACTCTCCGTGTGTGTGCTTGGTGGACGAAATCCGGGTCTGGGAGCCGATGCCGACCTCCCCGGGCTCCAGTGTCAGCGCCTCCAGGCAGCAGCACATCCTTGTTCCTCAGGGCGGGCCCTGGGCTGGGGCCCACTGGGGGTACCTGGCACTGGAAGGCTGTAGGTCATCTCAGAGGGCCCCCCGGAACTGTCCAGGCCCTGCTGCCCCCACCCCTGGCCCATCTCCTGGCTTCAGGTGCCCAGCAGGGAGAGGAAGCGGCGCAAGCGGAACCGAAGGGATGCGGTGTCCCAGAGACCCGGAGCGCGAATGGAACCGCACAGGGTAGTCCTGCAAAGCCCTTGCGGCGGGTTGCAGATTTCATAACTTCATGGCTTGATATATTTTACTACCTTAAAAAGTAGAAATACTAGAACTAGCCTGTGAGTTTTCTTCATACGCCTGAGAAGGACTGCGTCCCAGTGGCTGTGTGACGCAATTCTGCCCACCCCAGTGGGCATTTTTCTCCTGTGACCCGGGATTTTGAGCAATGGACGGTCGCTGTAAATGTCACTGCAGGTTATTGCTGTTAAAGCTGCAAGCCTAAGTTATTGCAACCACCCCCCCACACACACACACACACTACTTCCTACTGGAAAACTTACGTGAGATGAAGGGGACCTACACAGATAAGGAGTCCACCTTTTTTTCTTGTGCCTGGGAAGAAGGGACTGGAGCAGCCCAGAGAACTCCCCTCCCACCCCTGCCCCCTTATTTGGGTCCCTGTCTCTGCCTTAGCCTCCCCAACACATGCACGCACACACATGTACACGCCCTACCCAAAGACAGCTGTGGCGCTCTCCCGCCAGCCCCGCGCTCGCCAGCACGTCTCCCACAGGATTCCAAGCCATGTGAAAGCTGCCCTGCTGTGTCTCTGGGGCGGCCCCTGCCCTGCAGCTTCAGAAGCACAATCATTGATGAGTCGTTTTTTACAAACGCCTCTACCCACGTTAGTTAGGGAGAGCGACGGTTTCTAGGAACTCGGTATGTCTCTGACCTAGAGCATGGTGAATTTGGGGAAGCTGTTCTGGCAATTTCTTTGTGCAGGGCTTCTGCTCCCTAAATCCTATAGCTCGGTGCAGTGAAGACAGGTGGGCCGCCCTGGCCCTGGGGTGGCAGGGAGCGCCTGCAGGCCCTGCTTCTCTACCCGGGCAGCGGCTGTGGGTGGGGCTTTGTTTGTTGTTTTGGTTTTCATGAAGCAATAGAAAGTACACTATTTTTTTCAAAATCTAGTGTGCTCCATAAATCTGTTGGCAACCCCCAGCCCGGCCCTATCGAACTTCTTTGTGCTTTTTACTTGCTTTTTGAATTTTTCTTTGTTTTCGCCTTGTGTCTGGAAGACTGAAGAAGTAGCACAGGCAGGCGCTGACGCGAGGTCCCGTCGTCAGTCACAGTAGCTGGTAGCGCTCATGCTTTTTCTGTTAGTGAGTTTTGCAGAACGTATGGAGCTAGTTGTGAATGTACCGAGTGTCCGAATCCTGCTGCAGCTCACCATGGCTGTGTCTGCCTGACAGGGAGGGAAGTCGGGTCTGGTGTCCAGCACCCACTCCTGTCCCCCTGCCCTGAGGGTGTTGGCCCCAAAGCTTCCTTTCCAATCTGGGGGGAGGGGCGCCACATCTCCAGCAATCATCAAGCAGCCATTGGGATCTACGCCAAGGGGGCGTGCACTGGCTGTGGGGCAAGAGCCGCCGGCCCCACTGCCCCACAGCACAGCTTACTTGGGTCCCATGGAGGTGGCCTCTGTGTCCTCCCTTCCAAACCCCAAGTGTTTGCTTCTTGCCCATCCCAGAGGGGATCTCGGGACTCCTGTGTGGAGGCCATGGAGCCCTCACCCTGCCCGGCTGTGTAGACACTGCGGTGGAGGTGGGGACCAAGGCTGTTACTGCTACTTGGAAAATACCTGCCTCTTGTAGATCCAGCCTTAATCTTCTGACATCCTAGTACTAGCAGATCCTGCACAAAGTGGATATCAGAGTTACTACTGTGAGGAGACAAAATAATGAGAATAGTTTTACCAAAGATAATGAAGTATCACATTAATGTCTGCATTTTACCATTGAGTCGAGTGCATCCTTAGAAAACTGAATGTAACAAAAACCCAGGACATTTTTGGAAATTGTTATGCTTCTAGCAACTTTGTGTGAATTTTTATACAAGCACTGTTTTATGAGTTATATAAAATGTTATAAAAATGGAAAACATCTGGTCTCACAACATCTTTATTGCCAGGGCGCTGGTCTCAGCACGTGTCTGTCTGTCTTTGTGCTCCCCTCACCTCCTTCCCCGGGGAGACCCCGGGGGTCTCAGCGTCTGGGGCCTGCAGGCTGTGCGAGGCAGCGCCCAGCTCTCAGGATTTCGGTGTGGCCACAGCTGAGCAACTGCAAAGTCCAAGTCGCCTGATGAGCGCCAGCCCCCACCCGCGCCCTGTTTCTCCATGCCGCTTCCTGGCCGCGCGGCGGGAAGGCCGGCTGAGCGTTTCTTCCCTTGCCTGGCCAGGTGCCCGGGCTGCCCTGCAGAGGTCACTTGGGCAGCTGTCTGCTTTCACGCTGGAGCAATGCGGTGGAGCCCCTCAAGGCCGACGCGTGATTAGCCGATCCGCGGATGTATGTTTTCTCTCACCTGCTCTTTTGTCTGGCTAGTTATAGATCATTAACCTTAAATATTGCCTAGTAACAATAATGTCTCAAGCTGTCAGAAGACCTTTATTTTGGCTTAGGGATCACAAGATAGAATTTGTGCCTCCTAGTTTGAACACTTTGCCTGTAGTGAGTGAGGGTTTACTTCGTTCTGATTGATCGATTGATTGATTTTGAAAGTCACATAGCTTCCATCCTCTGGTTTATTCCCAACATGACTGAAATGGCCAGGACTGGGCCAGGCCAAAGCCAGGAGCCAGGAGCTTCTTCCAGGTCTTCCACAGTGTTTGGCCTATCTTCCACTGCTTTCCCCAGGCCATTAGCCAGGAGCTGGATCAGAAGTGGAGCAACCAGGACATGAACCAGTGCCCATATGGGATGCCGGGGTTAAGACAGCAGCATTACCCACTACACCACAATGCTTGCCTCTATTTTTGGTTTATTGTTTGTTTTGCTTTCAATTTTATTTATTTATCTGAGATAGCTTCCATCTGCGGGTTTATTTCCCAAATGCCCACAGTACCTAGGACCAGACTGGGCAGAACCCAGAAGCCCAGAAACTCAATCCAAGTCTCCCATGTGGGTGGCAGGAGCCTGATTACCTGAGCCATCACCTGCTGCTTCCCAGGGTGCACATGAGCAGGAAGCTGGAATAGGAAAAGGAACTAGGACTTCAGCCGGGCTCATCCAACATGGGATGTGTCCCCAGTGGCATCTTAATGGCTGCACAAAACAGCAGCCAGCCCCAACCCACTCCCTGTGTGTTCTTTCTAAGTAGTCTGTGCTCCAGGGGGAACCACGTCCTTGACAGAGCTTGACAGCATGAGGTGCCCCCGCCCCTCCTCCCAGGAGCTTCCACTGCTGTGTGGCAGCGTGAATTCCAGAGTGTCCGTGGGCCCCGCGGTTGCCCAAGAGGGTTCTGTGGCTGGGAACAGCTCCCGTTCTCAAGCACCTGTATGTAATGGGTCAGGGAAGTGCTTGGAACTGGACAGAAACTATTTAACCCACATAGACGCCCATCTGACAGATGAAGAAATGGATATTTCCAGAGGTTAAGTAACTCGGCCAAGGGCATATAGCTGGCAGAGCCGGAGGCTTCCACGGCTGCCAGGTTGGCTCCAAAGCCTGTGCACTTGATTCTGATGCCACTACTTGGGTAGCTGTGAGCACAGTAAGTTTCTCCATCCCGCCGAGTGCTCCCTGCGACTTAACCTGGGTTTTGTTGGACTGTTCCGAGTTTCTGGGCTTCTGGATCTGCCCTAGGAAGAAAGTGTTTGACCCAGGAAGACTTTCAATGCCACAGAAAATAGAAAAAAGGAATTCACCTAGAATAATCTCTGCTTCTAAAGCAGGTTCATTCATTCAGCAAATAGATTCGGAGGGCCAGCTCTCTGCGGGCACAGCTTTGCAATTCTAAGTCCCAGCCTCACGAGTGACTGGTTCAGAGCCCCTCTGAGCTCAGAGAGAAGCTTGACACCGACATCTCTTGCCTGAAGCTGATGTTCAAGATTGTAGGTGGATGTAATCACACTGGGGCCTTCAGCAGGCTGGGCGCTGGCCTGAGGCACAGCCCCAGGACAAGTTTCCGGACTCTCCGGTTTCTCCAGCCTGAGACAGCACACCAAGGGGCCTGTGAGTGGTGACTGCAGAATGCAGGAGCCCTGGTCTTGTCTGACTTGAGGGCCAGACATCAGCCCTCCTGGGGTTTTGACGAGCTGCAAGCTTAGCCCAGGGACAGGTCCATACAGCCTGTGGGAGGCCCTTTGGGATGGCAGCCTTCTCTACTGATTGTGTTGGATGAGTCCAAAAGGTGCCCCACTGTGGCTTTAACCTCATCTTTGCTTTGTTTCCCTTGCAAGCCGAAGGAAAGGTGTCTGAATTCTCTGAAGAAGCAGGCGAGGCTCAGGAATGAGGATCACCTATCCTGACCGCTACACAGAAAATGCCCACAGACCCGAGCTGTTCACCAACGAGTATGAGCAAAAAGGCCTTTAAAACAAACAAGGGCCAGCCAGCCTGCCCTTGAGAGAAATAGTGAAGTGCTGCTCTTGCGAAGCGGCATCCAGTTTCAGGGCCCTGTGGGAAATTCCAAGCAATCGATGGGTGACAGCTGTGGGTGAAAGGCAGGGCGGGCTTGCAGCGTGTAAGAAAGGAGCGTTCGGGTGAACAGTCTCCTATCTGCACTACACCCGAGGAAGCTGGCTGATGCCAGGGGCCGAGTGGGGCGCTTCCGTGTGGCTCGGCAGGGAAGGCAGCAAGCATCCGGTTTCTGTGGTGGGAGGAGTCTGGCTTAAGCACCCCTGGGGGAGCAGGCTAAATGTGGCAGATGCACTTTGGAGTTTATTATGCATCAGTGAGAAGCTGCGGGTTAGATACCTGCGGTGCCATGGATGGAGCCTCAAGACCATTCTCAGTGAAAGAAGTTAGATAGTGAATGAAATATCTAGCAATCATTTGTCAAACTGAAAACATACTTACACAAAACATGTTTCACGAGACTGCATACGCACACAAAGACACCCACCGAACACACTAAAATGACTTACCAAGTGGGAGAAGATATGCTGAAACAGAACAGCAAGTGGGAAAATGCAACTTGTAGGGTGGACACTGGGGCAGTTCCCTAACGGAAAAACACACGGGTGTGGGTCCTTGGTCCACCCAATGGGTGCTGGTAAATATTTAACAACTGCTCCCAGGGCAAAGGAGAGATCCTGATTGGTAGAGTCTGCCGGTTTCCAAGTAAAGATATGTGACACACGGCAAGCAAAGCTGGACAACGCACCCTCTGCTGTCCCGAGTCTGCGCATGCAAATGCATCATTTCCTTCTCCACGCCCTGGCGAGCTCTGATGCTGTGGACTGGTAAGTCTCCAAAAGTAATTTTTTGAAACCAAAATATAAGGCAGAACTTCAGTGGAGTGTCATGTCACTTGCCTAACACCCACTGCACACCCTTTAAATTGTTATTTATTTGAAAGGCAAACAGAAATCTCCCAACTGCTGGGTCCCTCTTCAGATGCCGCAACAGCTGGGGCTGGGCCAAGCCAAAGCCAGGAGCCAGCAACTCAAGGAAGGTCTCCACGTGGCGCACCCTTTAAGGTTAGGAACATATAGCATGCTCCTAACTGACATCTTTCTTCTGTCTCCTTGAAAAACAGTAATGATTCTTATGACTCTATCCCCCCCTAATTTGTATCTACTTTATTTATTTGAGAAAGAGAGAGATCCTCCAACTATGGGTTCACTCTCCAGTGCCCACAAAAGCCAGAGATGGGAAATGCCAAAGCCAGGAGCCAAGAACTCAGCCCAGGTCTCCAGTATGAGTGGCAGGGACCTGATGGTTCCTGAACTATTATTGCTCAAATAAACCATGACTTTAGAATAATCCCCAAATGCCTATTTCTACCCTGCAAATGCGAAAAGGATAATCCAACTCTTGCCTACCTAGATATGTAAATTTCCAGGAATGCAAGCAAATTCTACTTGGCAAGAAAACAGAATATGATTTTTTTTAGAAGAGACATGTGTCTTTTGAACAGATTACCATTATTAATAAAAAGGCCAGCTAGGCCTCTTCCAAAACAGTCATAATTTTAAATTACTCTCAGCCTTTAAAATTGCAAAACCAGAAGCATTTTCAGACTTTCCTGGGTAGGCAAGAACACTACGCTAAAACCAACAAGCGGAAAACCCGTTTCCTCCTCATCCTGCTAGAGCAGGGTCTCTCCGGCTCTGCATCACTGACATTTTGAGTCAGACAGTTGGTGGTGAGGGCTGTCTGGACGTCACAGGATGCTGGGCATCAGCCCTGGTCTCCACCCACTGGGTGCCCAGGGCACCTCCTCAGCCATGACAACCCAAACCTGCTTCAGACGCTGCCACACGTCCCCGGGGGCAAAACCGGCCCCAGCTGAGAACCACTGCTTTAGAGTGTGTCCAGATGTTATCTGCCACCCTTTCCTACGTCGGTCACATTTTCACCACGAATGCCTTGGCAGGAGTGCATTTTAAAGGGCCGTCATTGGGGTCATGAAATGAGTGAGTCGCAAGAGTTGCACAATGTTTATGAATTGCTTTTATGTGTTTCTGCTACTGCTTCTTACATGCGTTCCGAATCCCTGCACTGTAGGCAGCTGTGAGAGATCTGTGTTTGCCGCCTGCCATGACCAAACCAACATTCTCTGTCATCAGATGTCTCTGAGCGGGTTGCACCCCGGCAAGCAGTTGAGTCAGCGTCCTGAGTGCCCATGGAGCTTCACAAGGCCTTCCGTGCGCTTTCCGGCTGCTGCCAGCTCAGCTTGCCTCGTAACAACACGTCACCGTTCCTTCTCCTCTGAGAGCCAACAAGGCAGGTGATCAGTATCCTGACCCCCATTTGGCCGGCGAGGAAACTGAGGTTCGGAGGGGTTAACCTATGAGCAGAGCAACCCATCTGACTAGTGGCAGGACCCCTGCCGCGCCGTCAGCTGAGCATCAGGTGAGCGCCCCTCACCCCGCAAGTCTCTAATCACGGGGGTGGGGGGAGGGAGAAGAAAATGAGACGTGTGAACACACAAGCGCCTGCGTTGTAACTAAGTCATGTAGCCACTGAACACGCCATTTTCACTGGTGACTCAGTAAAGCCACACTAACGAGTGGTGAAATAGAAAAGCTCCCTGTACCTGGCACAGTCTGTACCATTTCCTCCTGACAGTTTAAGCTTTTCAAATATAAATCTGAACCATGAGCTGGTGAGACTTCCAGACAGCTCCCTGCTCTGGTCAGGTGCCTTCCAGTCCCGGGGATGGGTGGCAGGTGAGAGCCCGCCCACAGTCTGCCAGGGAACCCCCCCTTCCCAGGGCCAGGCCACGGCTCCTGGGATTCCACAGGCCGAGCTGCTTGCGTAGATGCCCCTGTCTCAGATGATGGAAATGTGTGCATGTGTTCCCCCAAGTACCCCTCTAGTGGTTCCCAAGTTAGAATGATCTGTTTGATTCTTTATTCTCCTTGAGAAAATACATAATTTGCTGCCTTTACCTGAAAATTAAACCCTCAGCTTATTACCCTAAACCAGGGGTCATCAAATTTGTTTGGTAAAAAGTCAGTATACGTTTTAGGTCTCTGCTGTATACTTTTAAAAACTGCTTGGAAAACGTAAAAACCATCCTTAGCTCAAGAGTCACCCAAAAAACAAGCCTCTGGCTGCCTTGGCGTATCGGCCCCTGCCCTAAGCAAACCACCGCAGATGGGCTGTGCCTTGCCCTTTGGCAGTAGCTGGAGCCCCCCACTCACTCAGACTGAAAGGAAAGAAGGCCCACACGCAGGGGAGGTGGCGAGAGGGCTTGCCCAGTGCTTCCTGCCTGGTGATCCGGGGGGTGCCCTTGACTTTGCTTGGTTTTGCCTTAAGCAGCCTGAACATGGGACAGCTGGCCCCCAGACAGGGAAAACCACCTAAATATAGACACTGAGGGTCTCAAGAGGTGGCCGCCGAGGGGCACACGGGGCCAGCCACTGGACCTCCCCGGGCCCGGTGCAGCCCGCACACGCCGCCGAAGGGCTCTCAGGCTGCTGAGGTCCACAGGACCCCCGAGGGAACCATCTCCGGGCATGCATCCAAGTTCCACCAAAGCCTCAGCGGACGCCGCAGATGGGACGAGAACTTTATTTTAACCAAAATGCCCTTCTCGGCGGCCCCGCCCCCACCGCCTCACTCCCAGGGCCGCCGTTTATTTAGACGGACTCTTCTTTGGCAGCGTTAGCCTCTTCCACCGTCGCAGCACCACTCTGTACTTCTCACTCTCCGTCTTCTCTTCAAATACTTTTTTCAGGAGAATCCGCATCACTGTCTCTGTTTCAGCTTCTTTATCCCCCCCAATGAGAAGATCCAATGTGTCTCCCACTTTCACCTGGAAATGAAAAGAAAATGGAGCCTTTATCACATGCGGGAGAACCCAGGCCAAGGCAGGCATCCTTGCTTGGCGCGTTCACCAGGTGACTGTCACACAGAGGAAGGACTGGGAGAAAAGGCCCGCCTCCTGTGGAACTGTCATTCGCCCCTAGTGCCTTGGCACAAAAGGGCCTCACCGGATGGCACATCAAATGCCAGGGGCTCAGTGTCCCCGCTTAGGAATAGAGAACGGCCGCCTGCAGGCAGTCCCTGTGTGGGGCAGCTCAAACACACCTGCCGGGTGACTGCAGGGAGTACTTAAATGGATGCATTTAGGTTGGTATCATTTGACACAGTGGCAGAGAACACATGCGCAGTAATTGCTACATGCACTGAGAGGACAATTTCCAGCGCCACACTTTTCTCTGATTTTAGCTGGGATGGGGATGGGGTAGTTGGCTGGAAATTAGTCACTGTAAAATATTGGTCAGCAGTAGAGAAATCAAAGAGATCGCCCCAGTGAGCCCACTTAATCAAGAGAGACAAGCTTCAACTTAGAAAGGTAAAGTATCCCAGAATAAAGGGTAGAGACGCTCGAGCTGACTGGCTGTGAAGGGCCGAGGTCGGGTGGGTGCTTGTCCTCCCGGTTACCATGCCTGCATCCTGTGTCGGTTTGATGTTCAGCTCTAGCATCTGACTTCAGCTTCCTGCTAATGCAGACTCTGTGAAACAGCAGTGACGGCTCAAGTAGTTGGGTCCCTGCTACTCAGGTGGGAGACCTGGATTGAGTTTCTGGCTCTTGGCTTCAGCCTAGCTATTGTGGGCACTTAGGGAGTGGCCTACAGGGTGGAAACTCTCTTTGTCTTTCTCTTTCTCTCCAACACATAATTTTTTTTAAATGGCTGAGATCAAATCCATTCTTACCCCAAAGTGAGTTTTAGGTTCAGCTAGAAGTTCAAGACACACCCTGAGGCTGTTATGTCAGCTCCAAGAGGATTTGGGTCTGGGCTGATGCTGTGGCCAGCCCATGACAGATACCTGGGATAGGCAGCTAAGGATCTCAGGAAGTCTGCTCAAATCCTCAAAGAGGGGCTACACAGACCCAGGTGCCACATGCTGCTGCTTCTACTACAACACAAGCCAGGGATGACTGGAGGCCACCTTGGCCCCCCCCCCCCCCGCACTGCTTCCAATTGTAGCAGCAACCCCGTGCATGGGCCACTGATCCCAAGTGGACACCCAAGTCTGTCCTCTGTCTTCTGTCTTCACCCAGTGAAGGGCTTCTCTTTCAGAATTCTGGTGTCAAATGCTTATTTAGTTTCTTTTCCAATGAACTTCAGACTGTCCAAACATGGTAGCTCACCAAGGCAAGCCTTTAATTATTCCCCACCCACTCAATACCTTCACAGTTAGTCTATAAGACAGGCACACATACATGGTGCCACCACACTGTGCTGGGCAAGCCAGGAAGCCCAGAGTAGCAGGTTGGGAAACTGAGGCAGGGGCCGATCTTCAACCATTAACTTCCTCCCCTCTGGGCTGAACAGAAGGCTCACAGCACAGTCAGGCATCAAGACCACTTCTCCTCTTGGGAGAGGAGGAGAGGGGAGTCCCGTACACCTGCAGATCTGCTGGGTTCAATTACAAAAATGACCACTTCAATCTGTGTGGACATTTTAAAAAGTCATTGTCTTCGCAAAGTCACCACAAGTCCTCGAACCCACCTTTACCTCTTATGGAATAACTTTATTTCATTAAAATTCTCTAATGAATGATATATGCATGTGACACAAAGTTCAGGAAGCAAAGGCACACAACAAGAGAAAGCAACCGTTCTCATATGCCCTTTCGTGTGTGTACTGTGCACGATGCCTTCCCTTTAAAAGAGCAGGCTACTGTGTGGCTGGAGAGCAAGTCCCCTGGGGGCTTCCTCCCAGAGCAGAGACTAGGGAATGGGTGCTGGTCCTTCCCCTCACTCATCCCAGGGAGAGAGGATTCAGGGCAGCTTCAATCCCATACGTGGGCTCCACACGCCCACTGCTCACATGGAGCCACCCAGCACCTGCTGCACTTGGGTTTTGCAGCTCACAGAGCAGCTCTGCTCACCTGCAGGCAGCCAGGGTTAGAGCGGCAGCATCAGACAAGTGCTGACCCTCCAGGGCGGCCGCCAGGCCTGGGCTCCACAGAGCAGGCCAAGGAAGGCCACGCATTCTTTATTCCCCTCCAAGACCCTGGCCGTCAGCAGACACAAAGCCAAACTGGCTGGGATTAGGGGCTGTTCCAAATATCTACATTTCAAATCTCCCTTTAGCTGCAGTTTCTATGGCTACCAGGCCTCCTAGTAACAAGGCAGCCGAGTGCTAATGCTGGCCTCTTCTTTGCTGACCCTCAGGAGAAATCTGGAAGGCAGCCGAGACAACAGAACACCCAAGGCAGAATGAAGCAGCAGCTATTAGGCTGCAGTTAACGATATTGCAAGGCACAGGTAGAAAGACTGGCCTGTGGGGTTTGTAATGAGACCTGGGCCAGGCAGGTGCTCGGGGACTCCAGAACAGGCCTCGCGTCGGGAGTCCTACAGCTGCGGCGTAGAGCGCTGGGCTATGGTCAGGAAAAAGCAATGAAGGGAGAAGGGCCTGTCTGGGGCACCCAGCTGCATGCAGCCCACGGAGCAGTGGCTGACGTGCCAGCGTCTGAACCTGCGGCCCAGCTGCTGTCAGAGGGATCGTGGGGCTGAGCCCGGCTTGGGGCCCTTTCCCTTCCTTCTGTCCTGTGAGAGTGTGGATGACCCCTGGGAGCACGCCCTGAAGGAAGCCTCAGCGCTCCCCCAGATGGACAGCTGACGGCTTCCCCGTCCACTCTGTGTCCCAGGGAAGCAGGGTAAGGTTCAGAGGTGGTGAAACATGAACGAGAGCAAAGGAAAACAGCTTCCAAAGTGTCTAACTGGTCTGGAGCATTCGGTCTCTGGACACTGAGATGATGCTTTCCAACACTCTGTGTCTTCCAAATGTTTTAAGGGTCCCTGTTAATTCTTGGTATCACTTTTCCCCAATTACGGAAGTGAGCCAAACTCAGGGTAAAAGAAAAAAAAATAAAAAAATAAAAAGCATGAGGAAATTTATATAACCCATAAAGCCCCACTCAATGATAGTTCCTTGTAGTAGTAACATTTTAATTCCAGGTATATGCAAACATGTTTATTTTTATAGAAATATGAATTTCTGGACAGTTTTTCACCTTGGGTGAAGATGCTGATTCAAATGCCTGGGTCCCACACTGGAGGACCTGGGTTCAATCTTCACCCGCCTCCAACTTCCTGCAACGGCAGACCCTGGGAGGCATCAATGATGGCTTAAGTAACTGTGTTCCTGCCTCTCACTGGGAGACCTGAATTGAGTTTTCGGCTCCTGGTTTCAGCCTGGCCAGGCCCTAGCTGTTGGGGGGGCATATAGGAAGTGAACCATCAGATGAAAGATCTGTCTTTGTTGCTGTCTTTCAAAAATAGCACTGATACAGACCTGTCAGAAAATACAGACTATCCTTTCTGACAGTTAAAGCAGCACATCTAAGAAGCGCTCAGTGGGTAGTGCTGGACTGAACAGGATTACACATCTGCTCAGGTAACACCAAACAACACTTCTATGTGAACCGAATGTTACTTTGCAATCCAATTATGATGATTCCATAGAGGCTAACATTCATAATCTAGGAGTTTAATTAATGGATTTTTGCTGGTCCTGATAGTAGCTCATCCTAACATTTGAAAGAAAAGGAGGAAAGCTGCCTCACAGCATCATTAGGGCTGCGAAGGAGAAACTGGCCTGTGTGGTTGGGGCTGGTGACTCCTAGCAGCCTGTGTGGGACCCCAGGACCTCAGGAAAGCTAAGGAGCCCGAGGGGAAACCTGGGGCAGCATTAACTGAGCACTAGCAGAGCAGCAGACAAAAACATCTGGATGTCATTACAGGTTTAATATCTCACCGTTCTGCTCTTCTTCCATAATTTTTCCCCATTCAGTCTGAGTTCACCTTTGTAGAATGCATCTTCCACTTTGCTATTAAAAAAAACCAAGTAGACAAAGTGCTTAAAAATATACAATTATACACATTCGCACAAAATACCTGCCATTATTGTTTATTCCAACAGTGATTCCCCACAAACTCTCCAGTTTGGGTGCCAGGAAAGTGAAAGTTGATTGCTTCCATATATACCCAGGACAGGGAGACCAGTGGGCCCTTCTGAGAGATGCTAAGGTGCTGTAAAGATCTGCTAGCACCATCATGCTCTTTACTTGATTTTTTATGTTTTAAGATTTACTCATTTATTAGAAAAGCAGAGTTAGAGACCTTCCATCCGCTAGTTCGCCCCCCAAGTGGCTATGATTTGGGCTGGGCCGGGCCAAAGCCAGGAGCCTGGAATGTCATCTGGGACTCCCATGTGGATGGCAGAGGCCCAAGTACTTACGCCATCTTCTGCTGCTTTCCTAGGCGCCATTAGCAGGGAGCTGGATCTGAAAGTAGAGCAGCCTCGACTTGAACCAGCACTCGTACTCAATGCTGGTGTTGCAGGTGGCGGCTTAACCCACTGCACCACAATGCCAGGCTTTGGCTGGGGTTCAACATACTTATGAAGCTCTGTTCCACACAGGGGCCTGGGGCGTTCCACCTGACTCCCAAGGCAGCAACTTCATGGTGAGGCTGTGGCTCTGGTGAGTCACAGTGACCAGAGTGAGTGGGCATCTCTTTCCCCTCTGATACCTGCTCTGGACTCACAGGAAGACCAGACATCACATATACGGTGAGGTCATTAAGAAATTCTCTGCCAGTCTGCACTGAACTGGAGAACTTCCAACCCAGTAGCTGCTGATGTCCAGGAATTTAAATCACTGGGGCAGCCAGACCAGCTGAGGGCTCAGACAAAAATCAGTGTCCTTCCCTTTTGATGACTGATGCCTGTGATTAATAAATTCATAAAAAATGGCAGCAGCTACTACTCTAAGAGAGGAGAGGTTCCTCTATGGGTCTGTCATATCTTAGAGAACATTCAACACATCCTGATCATGATGCCAAGAGGGGGCCTGTGGGCTCAGTCATCTTTGAGTCTCCTTTACTTCACGGATTAAAAGTTAAACTATCCCATTAAATTAGGTCATACAGGTACAAGTTACACAAGGAAATCTTTCTGAACGTATTCATACCAGAACTCTTACCCTGTATGCAACATGCACACAATCAATGGCTGCTAAAGAAATCAATGACAATGAGGGTCCCTATTCTCATATAGTTATTCTAATAGGGTGAGAATGAGAATATCAAGGAAACCTTGAAAGTTACACTTAACCATCTCTTTATTATATATGAACACACAGAGCTTTCTCTTCATAACAGCTATCATATTGCATATACACTATGTGCCGGGTACAAATGCTTTAGCCGGATATTCATTTACTCCCAGTGACTACCTTCTAAACAGATTCTATTACCCTCATTTTACAGATGTAGAAACTGAGATGCAGAACATTTGAGTAACTTGCCCAACATCAGAGAGAGAATAATTGAGCCTCTGGTGGTCTGGTTCCAGAGCCTGCATTCTTAATCAATACTTTACATTCACCCTGTTGATTCTGAGAGGTACTGTCTCTCATTGCAGCATTTGTGAAATCCAGGTGCATTTTATGCTTGCTGTTATTAAATCGATGGAACATCTCACAGCCAGCTGTGCCTTAGAATCAAGAAAATACGGCACGTGGGATCTGCAGGCACGCGACTTCTTTGGAAATCAGTTTATTCATCTAAGATGACGGACAGGTGACCTATAAGGCCCTTTTGGAGTAGGTTTGATGCAGCAGTTAAGACTCCAGCACTCCATACTGAAGGGCCTGGGGTTGAGCCCTGGCTTGGCTTCCAATTCTAGCTTCCTGCTAACACACACCATAGGAGGCAGCAGGTGATGGCTCAAGTACGTGGGTCCCTGCCACCCATGGGGGAGATCCAGACTGACTTGTGGGTTCCTGGCTTCAGCCAGGCTCAGCTCTGGCTGGTTGTGAGCATCTGGGGAATGAATAAACAGACAGAAGATTTCTGCCTTTCAAATAAATACTAAATCAAAATTATTGTTAAAGGTCTTTGCATTCGTTGTGGTTTCCCTTCATTATAATATGGCCTGACTTGTAATTATGCATTAAAACAAGATATTTTACAGTAAAATATCATACTCACTTTCTGCCAATATCGAGGCCTGTCTTCAGGATAACATCGTACCGGAAAGACTGCACAACTTTCTCCAGATCTTTGTAGTCCCTGACCACACTGGGGTCATCCTGAAGCTCTTCTCCTGGCTCACTCATCTCATTATGATCACTCTCTTCATCAGAGTCCACGTCTTGCACTTTTTCCATAGTCTTTTTAGTGGATTTTTTAGAGCTTAGGTTACTTTTGAGTCTTATGGAAAATGGAAAAATATATTCTGGAGACACTGAAAGTCCTGGGATTCTCAGCGAGAAAACACTATGGAAAAGTGTCTTATGATTTGATGTGTTTAACTTGGTACTAGAAAAATACAAGTATTGATTCCAGGAAGCACAGAGTTTAAATGAAGGTGTCCCTCGGAGCATGCCCCAGAGTCCAACCCAGGCATCCGGCTTTCTTAAAACACCAGCAAGTAATCTCACACTGGTCATAGCCATGGTGCACAGACCTGGAAGAGACAATAACTCAGTTTTATTTCACAAGTGCAGTGACACGGTGTTCCTACAAAATAAATCGTACACAGTATGAGCACTTTATGTCAGTACTGTACTTATGCCCTCCCACAAGACTCTAGATCTATCGGCCTGCACGCACTGAAGACCATGCATCATACCATACTGAGTCTCCTTGCTACAATAAACGTGTTGAGCTCACGGGGTTGTGGCTGGGGGTGGGGAGCGGGTGGTGGTTGATGACATGCTAGAATGTGTGAAAGCGTTCTTTCTACTCTTCTCCCTCACCAAAAGCAGCTTTGGGTACTACTGGTTGTTATGGAAAAATATTATCAATAGTTTTCAATGATTTGTTTCAGAAAGAAAAGAAAATCCAGGGAGAAAGAATGCTTATTGACATAAGTTAGATATATACAATATTAACTTTGCCAAGGAAGAACACCGGAATACCACTTCATTAAACCCAGAGCGAATCTGTAAAGTTTATTTCAACCTCCATCCCAGCAAGTCAGGGATGGCAATGAGTAAATCAAACAGGTTTGCATTTCACCTCCTTTTGCATCTCTTTCCCAAACAAAGCCAACCACTGTTTTGTGATGGTGGGACACCTCCAGAAGCGCATCGAGATGGTTTTAGAGAAGGGTTTCCACATGGTCAACAACCTTGTACTCCAGGTCTGCATTGGCTTTCTTTTGTGCCAAGGTTACGTTTCCTCATTTCCTTCCCTCCTTCCTTTGCAATCCATGTATAGCTACATCATAGTTCACATTTTTCATGAACTTTTTTGTTGTTGTTTAAATATTTATTTATCTATATATCTAATAAGGCAAAGTGACACAGAGAGAAACAGAAAGGAGGAAGAAAGAGATTTTTCAATCTATTAGTTCACTCCCTTAATGGCCACAACAGCCAGATCTGGGCTAGGCTGAAGCCAGCAGCCAGGAACTCAGGAGTCTCCCACAGGGATGGCAGGGACCTGAGCACATGAATCATTTTCTGCCATTTTCCCAGGCACATTAGTAGAAAGCTGGACTGGAAGCAGAGTAACCACACTCGAACCCACACTCTGACACAAGATGCCGGCATCACAAGTGGAGGTTTAACCCATTGCACCACAAACTGCCCCAACACTGATTTCTCTGAAAATGATTCTCATGATTTTTCTCTCCTTCTTTCCATTAATCACAAAGCTGACAACAGTAATTATCCATATGACTCACTGGAAAACACAGAGCTATTGACTTCCAATTTATATTCAACATTTTGGGGCCTTATATTCCCAGCATGAATGAACAGACAACACAAGTCTTGGGACTCAGGACTTTAATCTTCAATGAGAAATAAAGCAGGTCTTTTTTTTTTTTTTTAATTGAAGAAGCAGAGAAGCAGAGATAGAGAGAAGGGAGTGGGAAGGGAGGAAGAGAGGGAGGGCAAGCGAGTGCCTCTGTTCACTGGTTCACTCTTCAAATGCCCACAATGGCAGGGCCTGAGTCGAGCCAAAGCCAGCAGCCAGGAACTCAATCTAGGTCTCCCATGTGGGTGGTAGGTACCCAGCCACTGCTGCTTCCCAGAGTCCAGCTCCCTGCTAATGCACCTGGGAAAGCAGCAGAGGGTGGTCCAAGTGCTTGGGCCCCTGCACCCATGTCAGAGACCCAGATGGAGTTCCAGGCTCCTGGCTTCAGCCTGGCCCAGCCCTGGCCATCATGGCCATCTAGGGAGTAAATGAGCAGATGGAAGATCTCTCTTTCTTCTTCTGTCTTCTGTCTTTCCCTCTCTTTCTGTAATTCTACCTTTCAAATAAATAAATCTTTAAAAGAAAAAAAAAAAAACCTTCTTGAATGAAAGGCAACCTTCATTTACCAGAACACCAGAAAGAATGGGAAGTTTCAGGGGTGGTGGAGTGACAGGACTTGCCACCAACTTGGAGGAAATCTTAAGAGGAGGCACAGAGAAGGAAGTGCTGGTAGGTAGGGGTTGAATCTTGTCTCTGCACCAGTCCCTCTGTGTCCATATTCCTCATTCGGAAAGCCTAGCTTTGAACCAACTGCACTTGCTTCCTTGAAGAGCGCCTGCATCTGATCTTGCCCCCTGCACATACTCCAGATAGCTCTATTTACCCACCCTTTTCTCACAGAGGGCGACAATTTAAAATCATACTCACGTGTAAAAATACCTAGCACACCACAGACACCAAACTGTCAAGTGTCATCCTTGTTTGTGTTACCTGTTCACTCCCTGACTTTGCAATCTGCTTCACTTTCTAGCAAACGCTGGCAAATTCTGAGCGTTTAGATGCAATGTATGAGACACAAAACTGAGAAAAGCCAATCACGTAATTTTTGCTGGAGATGATGCTCAGTTGGAGATACCAGCAGCAGACATGCAGGGCCACCAAGGAGGGGTCTGAGAACTGAGGTTCTGCCCCAGAACCTTGAACTGGTCAGGGTAGCCCTGAGTTGGGAGTGGGGAGTGCCAGAGGAGGGGTTAACCAGGGCCCCAGCTCCTCTTCAATCAGAGTGGTGCCACTGAATATTGGGCTCCTTGTCTTTCATTTGAGAAAAATAAGAGTAAAAAGAGAGGGCAGGCATTGGGTGGTAAAGACACTGCTTGGGATGCCTGTATTCTCTACCAGAGTGTCTGGGTTTGAGGCACAGCTGACCTCTCCATTTCAGCTCCCTGCTGATGTGAATCCTGGGAAGCAGCAGGTGGTAGCTCAGGTAATTGGGTCTCTACCACCCACATGGGAGACCCAGATTAAAATCCCAGCTCCTGGCTTCACCTTGACCCAACACAGCAGTTGTGGAGAGTGAACAGGTAGATAGGAGATTGATGCCTCTTTCTCCTCTTCAAAAAAAAAAGATGCTGCTACTATTGACAAAGTTTCTGTCCTTTTGGCACGACCTCCTCCTCCCCTTTTTCTAGACTCTACCCAAGCCTCCTCCTCCTCCTCTTCCACCAACCCTTGCACTATCCAAGCTATTCCAGACTCTGGTCATCCCAATACCATGTGTCTTGTCACTTTCTAGTAAGTTCACTGGACTGTTCTGATCTCCCAAATGCTAGGGGTAGGGGCGGGGTAGGCATTGTGCCTTATTCTTCACTCGCAGCCCCCATCTGCTCGGCACACACTAAACTCAATGAATAGGGGGCAAGTGTTTGCCCCAGTGGCTAGGCCGCCACTTGGGATGCTCACACCTCAGTTTGAATCATGACTGCACTCCCCATCCCAGTGTTTCCTGTTAATGACCATTCTGGAAGGTAGCAAGTGACGGCTCACGTAGCTGGGTTCCTGCCACCCACATGGGCGATCTGGCCTGAATTTCTAGCTCCTGGCTTCAGCCTGGCCCAGCCCTCACTCTTTTGGGCATTTGGGGAGTGAACCAGCAGATGGGAGATCTCAGTCTGTCTCTCCATCTTTCAGACAAATTAAATAAAAAAAATTTTTTTGGAAGTTGCAGATTCAACTATTTAGAAATGAAAAAAGCATCTTGCCCACTCACTACATTTACGGCCACTCACTTACTCATACGTGGCCAGACCTCCATGTAAAACAGCCAGTTCTTATCCTCCAAGGAAGCGCCATTTAAGTGGAACATGGGCAAGTAAACCAGCCATCAGAGAGCGTGAATAGAAACAGGGCCAGAGGCCGGAGCCTGTACAAGCTGCAGCCCGGAGCAGGGACACCTAGGCGGAGGTCTGATGGCAGGGGCAGCCTGCAACCCATCTGTGGAGAGACAGCATTGTTACATCAGCATGCTGTTAACTCTCACTCAAAAACAAGTAGATGGACACGTCTCTTAACTCCACCACGCCCCAGGTCCTACCTATCTTGGCTCCTCTTTATGCCACAACTCCTCAGAAGTGTGGTCTATGCTCTCCTCAACTCCATGGCTTCCTAAATGCAGCACTTAAAGCTGATCACCCCCTCCTTTGTCACTCTGCGTTTGCCCCCTCACCAGGGACTGCTTCTCCAAGACTCCACCGCAGCCTTTCTCCCTGACATTCTGCTGCTGGTGGCCCTGGGACTGTCGCTGGTCCTCTTCTACTTTCCCAGAACCAACAGGAGTGGCTCACTGTGTGGAAACTGGACCGTTTGCTTTATGCGGAATTTCTGCTTTCTTCTAGAAGGCCGAAGTCTCAGTATGTTTTAGGCAGAGAGTGCCTACGTGATGAGCCTCCAGGAAAAATCCTGGGCAGTGACTCTCTCATAAGCTCTCCTGATAGACAACATCTCACATGTGAGGTCAGTTTGTTCCTGGAGGAAGCAAGTGTGTCCTAGGTGGCTCCACTGGGAGTGGACTCTTCAGCTACGCCAGTCCCTCCAGACTTGGTCTGGTGCAACTTTTCCCTTAGCTTATTTTGCTTCAGACTCTTTACTTGTAACAAATCACAGCCTCCTGATCCTCAGTTGAGTCCTCTTACCGAAATCAATAAACCTGGGGGTCTCCCCAGCACAACATCCAACTGCCTGTGTGACATCTCCACGTGGGTGCTCGACAGGCAGCTCCCGTTTAACCTGTCCACAAATAAACTCCTGCCACATGCCCAGCTCCAAATCCGCTCCACCTACGGCCTTCGCTGACTTAGTGAGTGGCAGCTCCATCCTTCCGGCTGCTGAGTACAAAAGCTTCCAGTCATCCTTGGGTCTTCTCTGTCCCCACACTGAGGCGCACCACAGGAATTCCCATCAGCTCTATCTTCAACACAGGTATAGTAGTGGTATCTCACCACTTCCACTGCTACCACAGAGTCATGCTACTATCACCCACCACCAGCGGTGCCACAGAGGCTCCACTGGACTGTTCTCCACAGAGCAACAAGATCCTTCTTTTCCTTCTTGTTTTCTTAAGAGACAGGCATCTTCCATCTACTGGTTCTCTCTCCAAATGCCCACAATGGTTGGGGGTGGGCCAGCCCAAAGCTGGGAGCCTGGAACTCACTCTGGGTTTCCTACCAGGGTGGCAGGGACCCAGTCACTTTACCCATCATCTGCTGCCTCCCAGGCTCTGCGTTAGCAGGATGCTGGGCCTGGAACCCAGGGACTCTGATATGGCATGCAGGTATCCAGTCACTTAATTGCTGTGCCAAATGTCTATTCTGTGAGTGATCCTTGCTAAGATTCATTTTATTTATTTGGAAGATAAGAGTGACAGCAGAAAGAGAGAAAGAGAGAGAGAGAGACAGAGAGAGAGAGAGACAGAGAGAGAGAGAGAATCATTCATCTGCTGGTACTCACCGGATGGTTGCAACAGCCAGGGCTTGGCCAGGCTGAAACCAGGAGTCTGGAACTCAGCCAGGATCTCCCATGTGGGTGGTAGGGACCCAAGCACCCGGGCCATTTTCTTCTGCTTTCCTAGACACATTAACAGGGAGCTGGACTGGAAGTGGAGCAGCCAAGACTTGAAACAGGGCTCTGATATGGGATGCCAGCATCGCAAGCAGTGCCTTAACCCGCTATGCCATAACGCGGGCTCCCCAGGAGTGATTCTTTTAAAAAGTCATACCAAGTCACTGCTTTCCTCGACCCCCTACAAAAGCTCTCACAGAGGTCCCTGAGGTCCCTGCCAGTGAACAGGCTCTAGATGATCTGACCTCATTTCCTGTCTGACCGCAGCTCCAGCCATGCTGGCCCTCCTCAGGCCCATACCATACACAACAGGCACATTTTGGACTATGAACTGCTTTCATCTGTTTTCTGTCACTTTAATGGAGTAACAAAGACCTGGCAATTTAAAAAAAAAAAAAAAAAACAAAAAAAAAACAGAGGTTTATTTAGCTTATGGTTCTGGAGGCTGGCAAGTCCAAGATAAGGCACCAGCCTCTGGTGAGGGCTTTGCTGCTTTGTAACGTGGCAGAGGAGATGACGATGAAGCAGGGCAAGCGTGCCAGAGGGCTTGCTTTATCATAAAACCACTGCCTTGGTAACCCACTGATCTGTGGGTGAAGGAGTTCACCCATGAGCACAGAACCCTCGTGACCCAATCGCCTTTCAGAGTCCACCTTTCAATGCTACTGCATGGGGGGGGGGGGGCACGTTTTCCTAGCACATGACATAGCAGATGCAAGGCCACCACAAAACACACCAAAAACCTGAGTTAAGGAAAGGGTTATTGTCGGGTGGGGGAAGCCCGACAGGCCGGGGAGAGAGGGCGAGAGGGAGGAATCAGCAGAGAGAGCACCGTGCTGGAAGCAGGTCCTGTTAAACCTTTGCCAGAGGCAGGGAGGTAGAAGCATCTAATCCCATTGGGGGGGGGGGGGGGAGGGGCTGACACCTGTGGTTGGGCCACCTGGTCACCAGGCTTCCAGCAATGCCACAGAGGGGATAGAGCCTAGGATGGTGTCCCGGGCATAGAGTGCAGCACAGACAAGACTACACTGATTTTCCTAACAGCAGGGATCTGTGTTCCAGCTGTGCCTAGAACACTCTTGCCCTGGATATCTTCAATGCTAACTCCTCGCCTGTAAGTCTTAAATGTCATCTCAGTAACCCTACCCACTCCAGCTCTATTCCATTCTGTCTCCCCAATCCCTAAACGTACCCCAGTTTTCCAGCACTCACCACTTGTTATCGGATTTCATGATTTAATATTGCTTGCCTGTTTCCCCCTCTAGACCATGAACTGCACAAGAGTAGCAATCTTCACCCCAGTTTTTTTTTTTCCTCCCCCACTGCTGCATCCCAAGGGTCCAGAGTAGCGTCTGGCATATGTTAAGTGCTTGAACACGTGTGCAAGGAAAGCAGACTGGCGGGACTGGCGCAACAAAATGAACCGAGAGAACACACAAAGGTGGGGCTGGATCTCCAAGGGCCATTGTACACAAGTCTGGACCTGACCCAGACGGCGTGGGAGCCAAAGGAAGATCTTAGGTAGGGGCCATGACCCGACAGGAGTGCGTCTGAAAATAAAACTTAATCTCTTCGGCGGCGATGTGAACGGAGCAGGGGGATGATGAGGGCAGCCAGGCTGGAAGAGGTTCTGGGGGAGACCTTCGGCAGCGGTGTGAGCTAACCCAAGACTGAGCCGGGCACGGCCTGGCATACGGGGGGCGGCGCCGGCCTTGACCTGCAAGGGGCTGGGACTCCACCTTTGGAGAACCTAGCCTCAAGGCTGGCGTGCACCGTCGCTAAAACCCTCTCTCCTCGTGGACACCTCACTCGCCGACTGCTCCGACCAGCTCGGCTTCCCGGCGCTCCCTCCCCAGCCTCCGGGCTGCGCCCCTTTCCGAGCCCCCAAGGTCACAGGAAACCGGACACCTCCGTCCCCGGACTCCTGCTCTGCGTTTGGAGCCTCTGCCGGCCCGATCCCCTCGGCCTCTGCGCTCGCGGGGCGCCCCGAGGCCGACACGGCTCCGCGGAGACCCGGACAGGAGCGTAGGCGACACCGGGGGCTGCGGAGCCGCTCGGCTCTGCCCGCGCGCGCGTGCGGCCAAGTGAGCGAGGGGGCGCGGGCCGGGGGCGCGGCGCGCCGGTAGGGGCGCACTTACCTGCGCGTCAGGGCCGCTAGTCCCTCCCCGCGGCCGTCTCACGCCCGCCGGCCGCCTCCGAGCATGGCCCGCCTCTTCCGCCGGAGCCGGCGCGGCGAGAGCAGGTGGGCGGGGGACGCGGGCACGCACGGCGGCGGCACAGCGACCCCTGCTGGAGGCCGTGCCTCGGAGGACTGGGCGGGTAAGGGCGCGGGGAGAGCAGCCCCGGACTCGGCCGGCGCGTGCGTGCTTCCAAATTGGTCCCTGCGAGCTGTTTTAAGGCACTGGTTCTTTCTCCGGAGTCAAACCTCTCTGAACTTCATCTTTGAGAATTCAAGACGTTGACTCCACAAAGATATCCGCTCATGCCGGAATTTAGAATATAAAAGAAGTTTCGACCGTCTTTTCAAGAATGAAGCGATTTGAAGGATCCAGAGAGTCGCACTTGCTTGTCCAGCGTACCTGTCATGCAGTAGGTGATTTCATGGCAAGGAAAAAAAAAATAGTCGCTGAAAAGTCTACTTGAACAGTGCACCTGTGGAAACAGCCCTTTTTAGATCTAACAAGACGAACCTATAATGAAGCATTTGCGGGGTCGGTGTTTCACCAAGTTTTACGTGTTCACATTAATGCTCATGGCGCTACCTGCTCTATTAAATTAGAATTAGGGGCAGGTGTTTGGCCTAGCGGTTAAGAAGCTGCTCGGGATTCTGTTAGCCTGGAGGGGTGGAATAGAAATTCTTGGCTTCCCACAAGAAGGAATTCAGAGGGAGACAGAGGTGCAGTGGTAAGCAAGGTTTAATGGGTAAGGCATCCGTCAGAACGAATGGGCACGTCTCCGGACGGAATCTGAGCGTGCCAAGCCATTCAGACTGGGGATAGCAAGGTTACCTAGTTTGATGAAGAGGATGCACCTGGCAAGCCAGGCAGGCAGCTCAGCGCGGAACTGAGAGAGCTACACCCGATAGACCAAGGTAAGTGTTTCAGGAGAGACTGAGCAGAGTCTGTATTCAGACTGAGGTTCACAAGGAATGGGGTTCAGTTCTTTTGTCCCCCCCCCCCACACACTTTCTGGGTGAGAAGTAGGTAAAATTCCTGCTAAGGTTGTTATTAACCAGCGGTATGGGGCTGGGTAGGTCACCTGGCATCGGGCAGAGAGAATTCTAAGGTGCCTTCCCCAGGAGGAACGGTTTGGGCGGGGCTTTGCAGTGTAAAGTGGTGAAGTGCTGGGCTGGCTCCAAGGGTTGCTTTCCAGGCTGCTTTAA